AAAAAAGAGAAAAGAAATGTTTAATTTTGTAAACATATAACATTTTCCAAAGAGGTTGTACCATTCCCACTATTAGATCCAGTTGCTCTGTATGAACAGCAACATTTGTTATGGTGATCCTTTTAAATTTTAGTAAGTTTATGATGGTATCTAAATGTAGTTTTAACTTTTACATTTCTAGTAATCTGTTGAGCATTTTCTCATGTGCTTGTGGCAATTAATATATGTATTTTGTGAACTCAACATTTAAATATTTTGCCAATTTTTAAACAATTTTTGTCATATATATATAAAACATAATGTATAAATAGTATGGAAACAATCCCTTTGTCAGGTATACATATTACAAATATTTTCCACCATTTGTGGAGTGTCTTTTCACAAAATTTTATAAAATGAAAGCATTTCTTTACTATCTTATCCAGGTATATGTCAGTTCTCCTGATCTCCATCACAAGATATCCCAGAAAGAACTAGATCATCTTGACATATCTTAGAACATGATATAGCTTAGACTTATACAGAATAGGTTCATTATTATATTGATGACATTATGCTAATTGTACCTGGTGAATAATAAGCAGTAAACATTTTATAACTTTAGTATGACGTATGTTCACCAGGAAGAATCTGATCTCATTTGACCAATTTGATCCAATGGATTCTAAAATTAAAATGTACACCAGCATCCTATCATAAACTCATATGGGATGTATTGGAGGTTAAGCCTTAGCAGTTCCAAAAAGGCACAGTAAACTGCATGAGCAGATGGCTCAGACACCCATGGTACATTTCTGTATTAATTTTCTCTCTTCACATAAACCATGTATATGACCTTGGGGCAGGACAGGGTGGGATGTGCGAAAGGGATTCATATGATCACATAGTGGAGAAGTAAAAAGAAAAGTTTTATTGCTGACTATGAAAAGTATGCCAGCTAGAAATATATACCACATTAGAGTCCCATTCAAGGGGTGGTCTTGAAAGACAGAAGTAAAGTTAAATTTTTGCATTACACAGAAATTTGGGTGACACATCTGGCTGTCCATCTGGTAGGAAAGATGTGTACCCAGAGATATAAATCTAAATTGACTCATGGTCAGAGATTAATGGGTTAGGTGACTGTTAAAGAACTCAAAAAGAACACATTAGAAAATCAGTGACTAAGACATTTGGGGGAGAGGTATGTGTAGGGCTTATACATAATGGACACAGGTTGTGAAGAAGTTCACTCCCATGTAAATACTCACAAATGATAACCACAGTTGAGGAGGAGACTCTCAATAATCAGATAGACACGATGATATGTACTATGGGCATCAGGAAACCTCTTTTTCCAGACACTCTGATGTTTGACCAATGAACCAATACAGCTATGGTCATATAGCTGAAATGGATTCTGTGGCCTCACAGCTGCTGAACCGACTGTTCCTGCGTGCTGATCCCACGAAGTTATAGGGAAGTGTCTCGGAATGCTGAGACCTGAAGGAATGATCTCAGTAAAGCTTCCTTATCTGATGGTCTTGGAATGCTGAGTCCATCCTTGGGGTCATACATGTGTGTGAAGGCACAGTATGTGCTGGAGCACAATGTGGCTTTGGGAAAAACAATTACTAGGCACATAGGCTCAGCAGACTGGAATGCAATAAGCAAATTTACTACCTG